GGTTAAACTCAATAAGAATCCTGAACATGGCCTTGCATGTTTAGTTTAATGGCTAAGATCTTTTTTAAGTTATTTTGTGAAGTTTTTAAAATAAAATTTTAATAAACTTAACAAAAAGACCTAAACACACATGTTTTAAACTGTGAAATCGATAAAATCTATAGATAATTCTTATACTTTTCATGCAACTGTACATGCTATAAATCCTGAAACTTTCTCTAGTACTTTAAAAACCTAGAACATCTACTGTTATGCTCTTAGTGTGCAAAGTCAGTATTTTCTTCCAATATTTATATTTATTTTTAAACAAATTCACTACATAAATTTTTTAAATTTAAATTTTTAAACATTGTTGATACAACCCCCTCTTAAAACTATAGTTCATTAATATAAACTAAAAACTAAAAAAGTACTAAAGTAAAAACTCAGTTTTAAAAAAATTAAAAAATAACTAGTTCAATTTTTTTTTAATATCATTAAGTTAAGTTTCTAAAAAAAATTAATTAATGTAACATTTGATATATGAATATAACAAAATTGCGTTATTCAAACAGTATTAGATGGAAATATTTAAAATATTGCTATAAAGCAAACAATGATATGGACTTACATGAGCTACTGACACATAAAACAAAATTAATGATCAGTAACAATGATAGAACAAGTAACCCAACTAAACTAACTTATAAATGCACATAACTTGTTTCACATAAAGAACCAAATATTTTTATTTTGCTTTCAATCCAGTAAGTTTTTCACTCAATCTAACTCTGCACTTAAATTTTTCTTAGACTTTTTGCTTCAGTTAATTCGGTGAACAAATTAGTCTTAAATAAACTGTCTCTAAAGGGTCGAGAGAATTTGGGCAAAGATTTTCGTCAATTAATTTAAAAAATGATTGTTACACAATTTCAGAGAAAGTTTTTTGAGTATGAGGTTTGGTAACCACCTTACTGAAACATCCAATCATCTCTAAATAAGTTATTTTCTGTAATCTAGAACTTCATCAATGATGATTTACTGTGTCATTATTTAATACAACCAAAAACATGTCTTCTAAACAAACTTCCAACCATAATTTAATACCATGATTTTTATCAGCATCAGCATGATTTAGAAACTTGATTCTTTTGACAATTATATATTTCATTGAGAACATTTTCTTGTCAGAAAAAGGAATTCTCAAAGATTTTTTTTTCGAAAAATTGTAATGAACGTAAATCAAAAAGGAAACTAATTTAGCTTTTAAAGCATCTTCTTTATTTAAAGACATAAAGAGAATTATTGATTTGTAACAAAAATAAAACAAGCAGCAAAACTAAGCATGTAGGTCATAATAAAAAAAAGTTAATATACTAAACTAATAAACTAAAAAAGGATTAAAAATATATATCATTAAAATGTTACATTTTTAGGATTTTAACTTTAATAGTTAAAAGTAAAAAAAAGAAATCTTTAATTCAAAAAGACATGAGAAAAACATTTAACATAAAAAAAAAAAAAAAAAAAAATTATTTTTACAACACTGTAACAAAGTACTTGACATTTAAAATGTTTTGTGTCACAAAACATCTCAGAAGTAAATGTTGAGTAATTTTAAATAAAACAAACATTATAATTACCTTTCTTAGAAGAAGTTCTAGTAGAACTTTCTGGTGAACTCAAAGTTTCTAAATGATTCAATTTTATTATAAACTTTTTAATTTAATTTTTTTTGAGCAAAGGAACACAAAAACTGGATAAAATAACAAATGTAAAAAACAATGTATAGTTTTTGTTAGCAAATCTTTTATTACTAGCAATATCAAAATATTAATTGACAAACAAAATTTTATTTAAATAACATTAAATGACATTTTATTAACAAACTGAATTGAATTCAAATGCAAAAAAATTTTTTTCCTAACAATATTTTATGTGGAAATGCTACAAAAGTTGCAAAACTTATATGGTTTATAAAGTTAATTTCTTTTAAACTTTTTGTTAAAAATAATTAATATTACTTAAATATGTGCTTTTAAACAATATAGAATTGAAACCTATGAAAAAAGTACTGAGAAAATAAGAAATATGAAACTAAAAGTTCTTAGTAAAAACAGAACTAAATTCCTAAAGTTAACAATTATTATTATTACTTAAATATGTTATGGTTTTGAACATATTTTTCATAGCCATAAAACTTATTTAAGTAATAATAAAAACCTAAGAAAATAATAAATAAGTAACTAAATGTTCTTAGTAAAAACAGAGATAAATTCTCTAAATATAGTTTTATTTAATGCTATTTTCAAATCAAATCTGTTTCAAATGTACAAATATAGTTTAATTTAATGCTATTTTTAAATCAAATACATAAATATAGTTTTATTTAATGGTATACTTTTTTAAATCAAAGACACAAGTGCCACAAACCTTGGTTTACACTTCAAATCCATAAACATTTTTTTATCAATTCGTATCGAACATATCTGCAAGTAACCACTATGTAAGTTGGGGCCATAAGACAACAAATAATTTTTAAGACAAAGAAAATAGTTGACAGAAGACTTAAAAAACTGATTTTTCTAATAGTCAGGTAAAACTTAAGGTAGGAGAGAATTCGAAAGCATTGATGCGCAAGGAAAGAATCTAGATAAATAAAAAAGAAAAAATTTTTTTAAAAAATGAAGAAATATGTTTCAGTTTTACTTCTGAAGAAAAAAAAGTAAAAAATTACAACTGTGTTGAATGGTTGAGTTATGGTTGTTAAGTGAGTTATGGTGGAAATAACAGGAGTAATTTGTAGACCATAATAGTATTTGTATAAAAGAGATGCAACGCTACAACTATTGGTAAGTGGTTGATTGACAGGGTTTTCAAAATCAACAACTATTAGAGTTTTCATCTAGATGCTATAGAAATTAAATAAATTATTCAAAAAAATCCTACTCCATTAAACTTAATCAATAAAACCATAAAACAACATAATCTTTTGTAAAATTTCTTGGTAATTATTTTTTTTAAAGTAACTATGGTAGCAATAAAGCAAAATAACAATTAACATCCAATTCTAAATAACCAATGCTCAAGGAAAAAAAAATTGACAATTTTTTTTTTTTGAAACACTTATTATTATTTTTTGAAATACTTAGGATGAGAATCTGGAGTAATAAAATGGTAAGAAGAATAAAGAGATGCTAATTTTTCAACGGATTTGACTTTTCAAGAAAGATCACCAGTATAGGTTAATCCTAGATGAAGAAGGCTAGGTGACTCATCAAGTACATTACCGTTCATAAATATATGAAGATCTAGATTGTTTTGACAACGATTAGCTTAAAAAAATTGAGTTTTGCCTAAGTTAATGTCCAGCAGCCACTGAGCGCTTCATGCTGTAGCAAAAGCGAGATCGTTTTCAAGCTCAAATTGCCCCCTGCAAGCATTCAGAGAGTGTTGAATTCTTATCAAGACAAAAATAAATGATAATATTATCAGCCAAAAACACCACCTAAGAGATGAGAATCTTCGAGGAGATCATTAATGTATATCAAAAAAAGTATAGAGTCAAGAATAGATCCTTGAGTAGCCCCTAATGTTAAAGGAAATGTAGAAAAGTGATTCAAGATGAGAAATTATGTGTTTGAAAATTAAAGACTCAAAAATCTTGTTTATGATAGGACAGTGATTAGACAAGTCAGAGAGTTCTCTAGAAATTTAAAAATAGAGATAACAGATGTAGGCTTATAAACAAGATAAGCACTTGTTAAACAGTTTTGAAAGTGTAAAAGAACCGGAGAACACTTTTGCGAGAATATAACAGGTATGTTGTCCAGACCACAAGTTGTAGAAAAATTTAAACAGGAAATCACTTTAGATTACCCTATTTGTCAGCTATATCATATGATTAGTGGAAACAAGAGATAAGATTAGTGAAAAGTGTTAAGCAAACAGCTCAGCGTTGTCTTGAAGTGAGATAACAAATTCTTAACCATGCAAGTAAGAAGGAATAATAGATTTACCTTTATTATAGAAACTGTTTAAGATTCCCTAGAAGCCTTGGGAACCTAATTTTTCAGATGAAATTTTGTGACCTGAGAATAGCATTGGTTATTCTCAGGTCACAATTCATGAAGAATTTTTTTGGTATGGAAGATAGTTACAATCGTAATGGTTATGATTAGCAACTGCAGCAGTACAATAAGAGGAAAACTATGGAGAAGAGTGAGACTTGACTTGGAATTGTTAAGAGGTAATAAAAGTTTCCATGCCAGCCTAAATTTAAGAAGTTACATAAAAAACACATATGTCAGCAGGAAAACGAAAAATTTCTACCCAAGGGCCATCACAAAGAAACTCATGGAAAGAAACTCAGTAAGCTTTATGGTAGTTGTAAGAGTTCAAATGAAATAAAATGGAAGAACCTGTCGATGGAAAAGAATTATATAATAGTTTTAGAGAGATCAAACCGTAATCAGAAGCACCTGAGGGTGCTTCAGATAATGTTGTGAACTTTGCAAGAGATAAGACTAATCAGAAGAAAATTTACTTTGAAAAATATTATTGAATGATAGACTTAGAGAACTTGGTGATAACAGTGGTTTTTTGTGTGGTCAGTAGCCAGAACAAAATTACCTTTTATCGTTTCTTAGTTACTTAAAAGAAAAAACTCCTTCTGAACTTGTACTAATTTTTAAACCAGATAAACTGTAATAAATAAGTTTTAATAAATAAGTTACCTAAGATTATTTTAGGAAAAATGAAAATTGATTTATAATTTACAAAACATTAGAATAACACTGTTTAGTTTTTTATAAAACTTTTTTTTTTGAAGATTAAGGCTATAGGTTACACTATAACCAACTTAAATTAGCCTTATTTGAATAGTTTGCAATCCGGCCGTCAAGGAGCATCACATTGAAATAGAATATTATAATCTTTATTTTTGAATAATAATTTTTAATGTAAAATATTTCAAATCCATAAAATAAAAAAACTTATTATTATTACTATAACTTAATTAC